TGCAAAGAAATCCCATGAGACTGACTGCCCAAACACCATGGCATAGGAACATAAAGCTAGCGTGGATGGCTCAGACACAGCAGGCCGCACCCCAACCTTTCAGGTTACCCCAGACGTGCAGTCTATCATCCCTGGAGTGTTTTGCTGCAGTACAAATGCCCTTATGGAACTGCTCACAAAAAAAAAAAGCACAGTATGAGCAACAATTTACAGGCAGAGCGTGCCAAAACCAAGAAATACTGGTTTTGTTATAACTGCAGGTCTAGGCTACCAGTTTTTTAATGGTCGCAGATTACATGGATTCCTGCATAATCTGAAAGGTACTCAGCCACTTGAGACCAAACAAACTGAGGTGTGTGTACAGCACCACCTCCTGTGGAAAGTTTTACTCACTGTACTTCCAGTGATGTGAATAAGGCCTTCACTGACTGATTTTTAATTTGCCTTCACTTCTTTAAGGAGGCACATAAACCGTGAAGCCTGGTAGCCACACCACCTTGTATCCAGTTTTAATCAAATAAAACTAGTCCAGGAATGACTAATTTCAAGGAAACTTGTTTTGTCTAGAGAATGATGATTCATCAGATCCAATGGTTTGCAAGCTTCTATTTCAACAGGATATTTATCAGAAATGTTCCTCAAGTCAAAGACAGTAAGTTGAGAAACAGAATCATCTCTCACCACGTGTACATGAAAGACACAAATGCAAAACCATCTCTAGTCTGTTAAATAGAGCACTTACTTGGCATATAAAACATGCACGTTCCAGTCCTTGCTCTGCCTGACTCACAAGGAACGTGAATACAGGTGAACTACTGTAATTGTTTGCTTGCTCCAAATAGTACCTGCTTTATATAAAATAGAAAAAACAACTGACGAGAGGTAGAGCAATACCTGCTTTGGATGCAGGAAACAAATGCAAATCCCTACTCTGAATGAATGTCCTATGCAACATCAGTTGATCAGAAAAATTAAGAATCTGCTGGTTTAGCCTTCACTCATGAAACCCCATCATCTCATAAATACTCCATTGCTATCAGACTCCATTCTCTACTTCCTCCTTTCTTTCCTCTCCCCATTAAAATGGGAAACTGATGACAAGGCTGGGAAAATGGACTGTTCTGAGCTATTTGTGTCTATTCAATGTCACTTGTGAAAATACATTTTGTACTGATAAAAGGACACACAAGTCTATGAAGTGAATAAATAAGTGCCTGACCCAGTAAGTCAAAGAGATCATCCAAGAGGCCTCAGCGCAATATTCACCTTTCTCCTGTATCAGTAAACTAGGAATAAAAGAAGCAGTTACAGCTTTACAACTGAAAATGCACTGATTTTTCCATTGTGACCAGTTGCATTTTAGGCTCAGCTGCATCTCCCCTCCTCTCTTGAGCCAAAGTGAGTTATTAATTAATTCTGGTATGCTTTAGTCATTGCCTAAAATGTGAAGTAGTTTGTATAACAAAGACAGGAGTTAAGGAACAAACTGGTGGAAGCAAGTGCTGGTATTTGCTTTTGTTTGTTTGTTTGAGGGTTTTTTAAAATTAAAAGTGAACTTTCCTTTTTCCAGGTCCATGGAAAAGAGGTCTAACAAAAAACCAACATTGAAAAACTGCTGTACTACATTAATGAAATATAGTGTTCTAAAACTAGGTGTACAAGCTGACCCTTATTTAATTCGTCCTTGCTGTTCCCCAGACAGCGTTGTTCTCTATCCTTTCCCTGAGTACTCCTTGGTCATGATTTTTGGGAGAAAGGTCACTACCTTGCCCTTCCTAGTGACTGTCAACTAAGTATGAACAACCAAAGTCACCTAGAGTTTGGCTATTAACTTCAGCAAGCATTTGATCTAGCCCTCAGTTACCTATCTTACCTCCTCTAAGAAGTCTCCATTTGCGGACAGACAGCAGCTGCCATTGCAAACATTTTTCAAATTTGAGTTAGATCTTAAACTGCAAGCGATGAAAACTGCAGAGAAGGGTGGAGACAAACAAACAAACCAAAAAAACCTGACACACAAAACACCAAAACCAACCAACCCCCTCCAAAACCCCACCAACTTAGATGTAGTGGAAATTGGGGGAAAAAAAAAAAGTGTTAGAAATTTTGTGTCATTATTTCTAATAATGGTTCTACGGTTCGCTTTCTAAGTTTTGTTACATTTAGTATTTTATTTTGGAGAAGGAAAACATAAATCGGAACATCTTCATACAGAATTTCAGTCAGAGCCAAACACTTTCATGCCAAAACTTGAAAAGTGGCTTAGCCAAGCTCAGATAAAATCAGCAGCAGAGTTAGAAATAAAACTCTGGAGTTCCTAGCTCTTGCGCCTGAATTCAAATTGCCAAACTAACCTTTCATCAGCAAAACAGGAGTCCAAGAATTTGCATATAGGCTGTTGTTTTGGAGCTATACTATGTAGTAACTGCAGCAGAGTATTAACACTGTACAAAAAACAATGCCACCTGAAGAAAGGAAAGAGACTGCTAGGGATGAATTAATTTTCTTTGGGGTTTTAAAAAGGATCCTTCATCTTTGTAGTATAATTCTATTAGGTCAGATTTCTCTCTGAAATTTACTGCAGTCTCCTCTTCTACTAATCAGTTGTCCTACAATGATACTGTAAAGCTTTTATAGCAACATCAGCATTAACATCGCGGCAACATCTCCTACCAGAACATGGGCATAACGAACACATGCTAACTCCATATCAAAAGAAGCAAGTTCCACTGCGCCAACATAGCCAAGTACATTCTCCTCAACGACAAGTGCCTTACCTACCCCTGAATTCACCTCCTCTGAGGCTGAGAACAATTGCTCTGTTAAACTCAGTATATTAAAATATTCAGTTATCCATTAAAGAATGAAAACATTCACTATCATTTACTGAACAGCATACTTCAAAATGTTAGTCTAGCTCAGTTTCCTTCTATGGTCGTCTTGCATGCCACACAGTCACTCTGCTCTAGCCCAGCACGTGCAGCACCGCTACAGTTATTGGGGCTGAGGGGGGAGAAAGATCTGGTTTCTGCTTGCCAGCAAAATCAGACCTCTGTGACTGGATTTGAGCTCCTCTCACACAAAAGCTCACTGAGGAAAAAATTCTTCCCAAGGATGATCTCTGTGTATACTGTATCATTTCTTTTTCATCAGTTGTGACAAACCCTTGCACTTAAGCAAATCCAGAGGTTATTTTTTATTTTGCTTACCTAAGTTTTCAGGCAACTACATTTCTTACAGAACACAGATGTAAAGGTACTCCAAGAATTGAAGTGTTAGCAGTAAAAAGGTTTCTATAGTTTACAATATAATGCTTATTTGCCAAACAATCAGAATGAAACATTCAATGCTTTATTTACTCATTAAAGAACATCAACTGATGTCCTTTACAACTGCTGGCTTAACCTGGACTGTTACAGAAGAAACGACAGACAAATGAAGAGCCACATTCTGTGTACAATTATGCCTATGGTAAAAAAAGATTTTAGACCCCTCTCCCAAAAAATACAATCAACAAATGACTGTTAACATGACCAGTCTGCAGTGGGAACTGCAAAGCATGTAGTCAGAGTAATACTAGATCAAGAACTTAGCTTATGATTCAGCTGCGGGATTCAAAGGACAAACACATGTCGTGGAGACCTTGACAAAGAACTCCAGCCTCAATTGTTTTAGAGAAGTAATTCAACTGCTTTGTCCCACCCACCTCACTTAGAGTAGCTGTAAACTCTATTTAAACAACCAGCAAAATGGGGTTATACCTGCTTTGCACCAGCATAAAGGAGACAGACTATGGACACAAGAGAGAGAGAGAATTCTGCTGAAGTACTAAAATGTTCTGAGTGTTGGTGAGACTTTCATTCTTCCCTTGCAGGCTATGCCTTCTTTTCTGCTGCCATTGAAAAGCCATGACTGAGGGATTTTCGGCATGTGGTGACAAATACCTGCTTGCTTCTTTAAATCCAGTCCCTTTGGGCAGAAACTAGAAGTTGTCAACTTTTAATGACAGCTTGGAAATGGTTTAAAAAGCTGCAACTTTGTTGATACTGGCTGCCATTCTCAGTGGTGAATTTCATGAGTCTATTCCTTAAACTAGATGCAATTTCCTGGCAAACAGCACTTTAACCCATCTGATTTTATTTCATGAAGGGAGATGGTGACGCAGTTAGCTCTTCCTCTCCCCTCAGTGAAAACACCATTTTGGCAGTGTAAAATTATCCAAGCTAGGAAAACTCTTGCTACTCCATCATTCTGCTATAGTCTGACAGCAAAACACAAATACACGTAGACAGCAAAACAGAAGCCATGCATGGGCTGGAAAAACATCTGCATTGACACAGAAATCCATCCAAGATATGCTTACACACCACTTCAATCCCCTTGTACAGATCTTAGTTTTGAGGCATGGAATTAAGTGAGTGAGCTTGTTCTGATTTTCATAGTGAGTACTTCTGTCTTTATAAACTCCCTTAATTTAACATTTTCCCATTTTATTGGACTTTAATGAAAGCATACAAAGCCCAAATCAGATATTAATTAGTAAGTTAATATAAAACACAGGAAACATGGAGTGATGTGCATAATTATGACTGTCTACAAATAAACCTGGACCCTATCTGGAGAATTTGAATCCCTAGTGCCTGTAATATTCCAAGCCCCACACGAGCTCACTGTAAAGACAATCCAGATCAGGAGTCATGGTGGTCATCCAAGAAAGGGCTAAGAAGTTCTCCCTGCAGAAGCACTGTTAGGTGCTGGTATCCAGTCCCATGGACACATTCAGCCAAAGAGAAGACTCTCGACTTTCATTTCATTAAATACTTCATTGTACTATATTCACTCAAGAAAGCTGCATGGATGAATTTTTTACAGTATCAGAATTAACCAAGTTAAATGCCCTTAATAAACTCTTTGCTTTTGTTTCTAGTTGATCACTGGTCTCCAACACAGCTACTCCACATATAAAACACTTCAACAGCTTAAAACAGTGTCAAGTGTACCTTTTCACTTTAAAACTTCTTCTGATATAAAAGCACGTTTTTCTAGCAAGTCTTACCTCCAAAAGTCCATCTTCAGGTAGGTCTGTGCAGTGGACAGCATTCTGAATCTTGTTCTTCCCAAAGACAGCACGCAGAGTTCCAGGTCGGAGATGACGGGCTATTTCCTATTGAACACAAGAAAACCAGAAGACCTTTATGAACCACACTGTTCCTTTGTATCATGGACGCAATAGAATCTTATAAAGTAAAACATTATTGTGCTATTAATATACATGTGGTACACTATAAAAGAAAATGAAGAGGGAAATGCCAGCTTGCACTACACACTACACAACTGCTGAAAAACCATGACCAAGATTGTGAAAACTAACTGCTTTAATTGGGCCAATCAAGCCACTTTGGGTGAAATGCAGGACCCTTCATATTACAGATACACTTTCCTGGCACTGTTATTAATACAATTAGCTCATCTTAACACCTTTGCAGTTCTCAAGCACAGAATGTGCTGTCCTTAGTGAGCAGACACAAGCACACCACCTTGCAGACTGCCTCCCCTAACACTGAACTATTTGCCTCAGAACCTGGCGTTTGTGAAGCCCAGCTACTGAACAGCCTCTTGGTCTTCTCCTCTGTGGTGCTTCTCTGACACCATGACTAGTCCCAACATCTGATGCCCTCTGAGGATCAGTCCAGACTCTCTCTACATCTTTCTCTGTTCTTTGAAGTTGACATTTCAATACTCTTCTTCATCTACAATGCCAAATGCCTCCTTGGCGTCTCAGAGCTTTTCTCTTACTACAGCAGATACCACTCAGGTCCTAAGATAACATTCCTCCCCTACCTCTTTACTATGGTACATCTCCCATCTTATACCACAGAAGGCTGCCTTCATTGGCTCTCCCCTCCACCATGCTCTTTCTTTCAAGGCATAATGCAGTCCTGCTGTACTTCTCTGCCCTATCACCTTGCAGTGTTGTATTTTAACCCCTTTCCTATGCCAACTGTGCTACACCTTGTTGGCTTCTCTTCCCAACACCCTTGGGAGCTCTTCTCCAAGCCTACCTTCATGCACAGTGTGCCTTCCTTTAAAACTCAGTGGTGATAGCATTAACCCAATTTTCCCTCCTTAAAACCCTTTGGACATTCTTCCATTAGTGCCTCCTGAGCACAGCTGCCTATGAGGCGACAGGCCGATGACAAGCTCACACTACAGCAAGTGAACAACAGAAAAAAAAGCCCTCTTTCTTGCAAACAGAGCCTACATTGGCCCCTTTCTGAAAAGCACTGGGTACATTAGGGTGTAATCACTTTGGAAGTGGCCAGCGCAGTTTCACTGTGCCACTCCCAGGTGTTTGTTTCCGTGTCACAGCTGGAGGTTACTTCCCCCACAGCCAAGTCACCAGACTGGATCGTCCAAGCATTTCTTAACTTTCAGTGTCAAATGGGTTCAAAGTAACTTCAGTAGGGGCTCTTGGCTGACCTGGAAAACCTTTCATAGGTACAGATGAGAACCACTCGCATAATGCGCAATCTCTTCTGGAATGGCAGTGAATGTTTTAAGCTAGTCCCAAAAGACCTCACAAGAGCGTTACCTGACAACACCCTTTAGCCACTTTCCAGCTTTACCCACTTGTCGTGCCTCAAGACAATAGAACTTTAAAGGCAAGATCTTCTCTTAGCCCAGCAAATCCTAGATATTTTCTTGTAATAACAATTAACAATTACGGTGATCTGTTACCTAGTAACCTACATCTGTTAGCTATGGTGATTTGTTGCCCACCTGAAAGACAATTAAACTGCTTTAATGCTTGGAGTGTGTCTAACCCAAAACATGCTATGAGAAGTTTCAGTTCCCCATTGTTACTGTGTGTACATCACAGGTTATACAGGGTCTTTGGATATCAATGTCAAGGATATTTGAGTAACATACACTCAGCATCAAAGAAATTTTCCTTCACAGGAAAGTTCAAGAGTTTCACTTTAAAAAAAAAAGCCCCAAGGAGGAAAAAAACCCTCCTCTACATGGTACTCATTAAAGGAAGGCTTGCGATAAGAACGTCTGCTGGAGAAACAAAAGTCACATGCCAGTTAACTATAGCTACGTGACACTTTAATCAAGCCTTTCTTGAAACAACTGTTGATTCCAGTAACAACCAGGAAGCTGGCAATAGTGCTAGGCTTTCAATTATTTTAAGGAAAGTTTGGGCATATCAGAAAAAATTATTGTGGCTATGAAACTTTTGCACTGAATGAATGAAACACTTTAGCAAGGAACAGCTCAGACCTAAAAAGCTAAAGCTTGGTATTTCATACTCTGTTTATTTCCTATTCAGCAAACTCTTTTGCTCAAACTGTTCCATCCTCCAACAGGTCCAAAAATGCTGCTTCTTATGAAACTTTCCCAAGTTTTCCCTTGACCCATCTTCCTCACCAAACCCACTTTTTTTTTCCCTGCACCCCCCCTCCCTTTCTTTCTTTCTTTAAAAGCAGCTACGGCCTCCTGACTTATCATCTCTCCTAAGCGCTCATTTCTGTTTCAGAACTTTGCAACAGAAGACCTCATGTTTCTTCTCTTGGACTCACTCTCTCTCACTAAAATTGGCAAAAGCTTCTACTGTTGCAGTACACAATCTCCCATTCTTCCTTCAATTTTTCAGTGCAGGTTGCTACATATTCTCCTGCCCTCCTACAACTCATCAGCCATCTTGCACAAAAAGGGACTCATTCTGTTCCATCTGCGATTGCATTAGATCAGAAGTACACAAAGTAGGCTCTCCAGCATGTTCCATTGTTAGCACCTGATCAATAAGAATCTAAAAAAGCCTTTCTTGCCATCAGTTAACGAACAGAATGAGAGGTAAAGCAGTCTCTGCTTATATTTACATAGCCAAAAAAGGACAAGAATTGTCAATTCTGAAGTTTTACCATTCCATTGCTTTCTTACTACACCACTGAGGAACCCTCAGGGAACAAGGTCTCTGTAAATGCTGGAGATACGAAGAGCTGTATGGATCATATATAGGTGTCCTTGCGTATGTATGGCTGGAAATCTTGGGAACATTTCAGGGTGTTGTGGTTTAACCACAGCCGGCAACTAAGCACCACACAGCCACTCGCTCACTTGCCCCCACGGGATGGGGGAGAGAATCAGAAGATTAAAAGTGAGAAAACTCATGGGTTGAGATAAAGACAGTTTAATAGGTAAAGCAAAAGCCGCACACACAAGCAAAGCAAAACAAGGAATTCATTCCCTTCTTCCCATCGGCAGGCAGGTGTTCAGCCATCTCCAGGAAAGCAGGACTCCATCACACCTAACAGTTACTTGAGAAGACAAACGCCATCACTCCAAAGGTCCCCCCATTCCGTCTTCTTCCCCCAGCTTTATATGCTCAGCATGATGCCATATGGTATGGGATATCCCTTTGGTCAGTTGGAGTCAGCTGTCCCGGCTGTGTCCCCTCCCAGCTCCTTGTGCATCCCCAGCCTGCTCGCTGGTGGGGTGGGGTGAGGAGCAGAAAAGGCTTTGACTCTGTGTAAGCACTGCTCAGCAGCGACTAAAACATCCCTGTGTTATCAACACTGCTTTTAGCACAAATCCAAAACATAACCCCATACTAGCTACTATGAAGAAAATTAACTGTCCCAGCCAAAACCAGCACACAGGGAAGGAAGAAGAGAGCTTCTTACAGAACTTATTCCTCATAGCACATATTAATATATACTATTCTGCTCCACGACAGGAAGCTTGCCAAGCATTTTATTTATAGGGCCTCATCTGCAACAACAGGAAGATATAAATATAATAGTGGGGTTTGGGTTGGTTCCCCCATGCCCCTCCATCCCCTTTTAAACCTCTGTTTCCTAAGCTTTCTGCTGAGTCTAGTTTACAGAATATGTGTTTTGCATACTCATTTTCAAAAACTTTTGAAAGAAGTTGAGAGTGGGAGGAGTTAAGAGCAGCTACAGCTCTTCCATATGCATGAGAGGAGAGTAACGTGTGCGCTGGAACTTCATGTGTGTGTGTAAATGGGATTGCCACGAACTCGCACCTCACAAAGAATACACCGTCTGCAGCAAAACAAACCAGGGTTGCTGTACCAAAAGGCTTCAGCCTCTTTGGTCTTATTCAGCAGGCTATTTGATCACATCTTACAGGCTGGGCTTTGATCTACAACTAGCCCTTTGAAGATCCTTGTCCTACACAAGATGCAGATGCATACGTTTCATGTTTCTCTCTGTCATATAACTGTGCACAGTGTAACACTGCCTGTATGAAGTACTTAGCACGTTCTAAAATCTTTCTATTTCTACACAAGTGAAGAGAAACAAAAATGTCACCAATGCCAGTAATATGTCAAAATCAGACTGAAAAATCATAAACATACTCATGAGCAAAGCTGATTAACTGCTTTTCCTTCCAATGGCTGTTTTTTCATGGGCTGGATGGGAAGTTATACAGAACAGTAACATGTATTCCAGCCAAAACTGCAGACTTCAAGAAAATTTGGCCAGGTTTTTTAAAGCATCTGCCCTGAATACTTAATCAGGTATCTAGAAAGGCCAAAAGGCCACTGCTCTTAAACATTTCTGCATGCTTTGTTGTTGTTTAAATGACATTCAAGGAAAAGCCAAAGAGGCGACCACTGACTCTGTGCAGTAACCATTCCTTCCCTCCTCAGTGGAAAACAGCACAAACTCTGAATGGACCAAAAACACACAAAGGAACTTTTACAGCCTAAAACTTTGTTCTCCTTGAACATGAACTAGAATAAGGGAACCTTGAAAATTTTTACTGGTCCTCTCGAGCGAAGCAGAATAAAAATAAGAGAGTTTGTGATCAAACCCTCTCCTACCACAGTGTGCTCCTAGGGCAGGTTCATTCTTTTAGGTTTGCTTTCAGGCCACCAGCATTCAGAGGACTTCTTGGGGTACAAAAAACTCTGCACAGTCCCCTCTAAGCCCCCAGTAAAACCCCTTGTTTTCCTTCTCTATCCGAGCCCTGACTGCACGTCTGCTCCTTGCTCTTCTTGGCATTCCTCAATCATCATTCTTTCTGAAGGCAACATATGTTGACTTGGTCTGAAGCTTTTTTCTTCTGCAGTTCTCCATGCTCCACTGCTGTCATGAAAGAGATGGTCCCTTTTTCCCCTTGAGGGTGCCAACT